GAGCCCATGTTCTGCAAAAGGAGAAGCCACCGCAATGAGAAGCCCGCGCACCACAACCAAGAGTAGCCCCCGCTCGCAACAACTAGAGAAAGCCTGCGCGCAGCAACGAAGAACCAATACAGACAAAAATGAATAAATAAAAATAAATAATTTTTTAAAAAACTTATCAAAAATAAAATAAAAAGCTCTTAAGACATTTGCCTTCTTTTACTATTTTTTGAAATTTCAAGAAAGGGGATAATCAGATGTCAGGAATTTAGATACAAAGATATTTATAACGTAATAAAATTAGAAACAACCAGTAGTCAGTGGATTATTAATAGATAATGGCAAATAAATTCATGAAGGCCTTTGAATGACTCTGAAGAATACCCAGGAAATGACCTGGCCCCTGGAGAAAGGATTGGAGTTCGGTGGAAGCCGTGGCTGCTGAACCGAGGGTGGTGATCAGGGATCTGCAGAGCCAGGGCGGCGGTGGCGGGGTGAGGCGGGGGAGGAGGGAGCTAGGAGCCTTTGTAGAGGCAGTTGCAGGTTCTGCTGATATTTGGACTTGAGGAGGAGGATACAGGAGAACGCGGGAGAACTGGAGGACACGGCGGATGCAGAAGATGCGGAGAACGTGGGAAATGCCTGAAGTCCAGGTCAGGCAGGCCTCATGGCACCTGGACCTGCACCTGCTGGGAGCCCAGGAGCAGCTTTAGAGCAAGAGAAAGAAAGGAGGAGAAGAAGAGGGGTGTCCGGGGAGTGACGTTTTCTAGAGAGCAGCAGCGTCTTCATTCTGCCAACGTTAGGACGCGCAGCTAAAAGAGTGGGGGCTCTAGCGGGGCGAAGGGGGACGGGGGGAGGGCTGCGGAGGGTCGCAGTGAGCGGAGGGCCCGGGGCGCCGTGCAGGAGGGGTGGCGGGTGAGAGGCAGGGCGGGTGTCAGCTCGGAGGATGCTGGGCCACTCTGATCGCCACCCGCCAAGTGTCCAGGAAAGCAGCCCCCAGGCTCCGCAGCTCCCCGTGCGGGAGCAATCCCGGTCTCCACCGCCCAGGGTAGTCAGAGAATCAGTGTGCAGTGACTGTGTGCTGTGAGTGCGGGCTGGACCGATGGGCGAAGGCCGGGATGATGGACGAGGTCTGCACCTGTGGCGGGGGAGGGTCGGGGAGCACCAATAACGAGGGAGGGGCCAATGGCGAGGGCTGGACCGAGGGTCGGGGAGGGACCAATGGCAAAAATGCTGCGCCCTCAGGGATGCTGGGCGGAGCGGAATCAGTAGCTTTGATGAGCATACTGAAAGTTCTTCCCTCTGCTCGCTCAGAAGAACGACGGAGACAATCGAGGCCTTTAAACAAATGCTGTGACTTCCTCTACGTGGAGCCGAGGTCAAACACTGGGGGAGGCCGTGTGGTCTCAGTTAAACCCACCCCCTCTTGTCCTGGGACAGCCCCGCCCAAAACTCGAAGTCTGGCCACTGGAAGGCTGAACCCCGCCCCCCGGGGGCCACCGCCCAATAACGGCATGGTCCTGCCCCCTCGCGAGCCCTGGCTCCGCCCCCGCGCGGGATTGGTCAGGCCGCCAGTTCTGCCCCGCGAGGGGAAGACCCGGAGAAATCGAGTTAGCCCAAGGAATGGGCCCCCCACAAGCCCTCTGCGCATGCTCGCTCCGTGACCCCAGCTTGAGGTGACTGCCCGAACCCAGACCGGGGCCCCAGGCACGGAGGCTGAGGGACCTGCCGCGGCTCGGTCTCCGGAGAGGGAGGGCCCCGCTGCCGTCGCCGCCCGGCCGGTGCCCGGTGAGGACGGGCCCCAGCGGATTGGGGAGGGTCTCGGGTCCCTGCCGGGCTCCTCTGGGGATCGCCAAGGGCTGCTGATGCTGGGGGGTGCCCCCCAACTCTGCATCCCGGCGCTCAGGCCGCCTCCTTGTCCTTCACCAGCGATTCAGCTCTTCTCCTCGCTCGTCCTTCCCCAACCCACCCTACCCCAGGACTGAGCTCTCACACCCCAAGTCAGGGAGCCCCACATTGGTCTGCCTTTCCTTGACCGTGTCCGCCCCGCCCAGTACTGCCCCCGCGCTGCACCCATCCCCAGTCCCGTCCCATCCTTGTGGCTCTAGAGATGCTCGCAGGGATGGCAGTTGGAGGTCTGAGATGTTGGGGCGGGGGAGGCACTCCGGAGGCTTAGGAGGTGGCGGTAATGATGCGAGAGGAGAGAGGCGGGGAGCAGGGGCCATTTGGGTGCAGCATAGACAGGTCTTAGGACAAATTGCAGTGGGTAAGGAGGAGTAAAAGTAACTAAGATTCCAAGCCATGGTGATTAGGGTAAGGAGGTGCCATTACATGAAATTCCCACTTTGGGGAAGCTGTTCCCTGCACACTATAGAGTAGCAGTTCTTGACCCATTCTGGGTCTTACTGCTGCTTTGAAAATCTCCCTGTAAGGATGTGTACCTGCATATCTAAGTGGGTCCATCATCCCACCAGCAGCCCTCCAAGAACCACATGAGACAGCGATTATAGAAGGGGCATCTGTCAGTATCACTGGTAACTTGAAGACTTCACCCTTGCCTGCCTGCCTGCCTGCCTGCTCTTGAGAGCCCCTGCGAAGTTCACCACTACTCCCATTACATAGGTGAAACCAGCCCAGAGAGTGTAAGGGGTTGGCCTTTTAGCTGAGAATGCAGGTGTTGGTGGACATTGATGGTATTTCTTTCCCATACATATGAAGGTAATGGTAATTATGTTAATCCATCATCAGTTTCCAGGCAATGATCCTGGCTTTCTTTTTTTTTTGGCCACGCCATTTGTGGGATTTTAGTTCCCCAATCAGGGATCGAACCTGCGCCCTCGGCAGTGAGAGCAGGGAGTTCTAACCACTGGACCGCCAGGTAATTCCCATGATCCTGGCTTTCAGAACCTCACCATCAAGGGACTGGACCTTGTATTAGTTACCTACTGCTGCCATAACAAATTACCACAAATTTAGTGGATTAAAACAACACAGCTTTGTAAAAGTCATGCAGTGCTGGAGGTCAGAGGTCTGACACGGGCCTCACTGGGTTAAAATCAAGGTGTGGGCAGGGCTGTAACCCTTCCAGGGGACTCTAGGAGAGACAGTCTGTTTCTTTGTCTTTTCTAGAGGCCTCCAGCATTCCTTGGCTCATATCCCCCTCCCTCCACCTTCAATGCCAGCAACATTGAATCTCTCCTCTCGCTGACCCTGCCTGCATCATCACACCACTCTTTCTGACTCTTCTACCTGTGTTTCCTGCTTTTTAGGATCGTTGTGATTGTGATGGAACCACCTGGACAATCCAAGATAATCTCCTAGTTTAGTAACCTTCATGCCATCTGCAAACTTAATTCCCCCTTTGCCATGTAAGGTAACATATTTACAGGTTCCAGGGATCAGGACCTAGACAGCTTTAGCGATGGGCAGCGGGGAGGCATTATTCTGCCTCCCAAGGTGTCTAAGAGGCTCCTGCCAGTTCTTAACATTGTGTGGTTTGGGGTTTACACTGAGCCATCTTACAATATCATGACAGCTGGCTAGGATAAATGGGTGACTGGAGACCCATAGCAATATCAAACCATCCGACTGGGGATGCAGGTGGAGGGTGTAAAGTGAGTGAAGTAAGGTAAACTATTAAGCCTTTTGATCTTTTTAATTCATTTCTGCTTCACTTCTAAAAATTCTGTTAATTCAATGAACTTTTATTGAGTAAAAATTTAATTTTCAAAATAGATAAATAGCTTAAATAAATAAATAAATAGCTTAAAATAGCTGCCTGTCAACTCTTCCATTCACATCTCAAAAATAAATTGCTAGAAGGTTAGGGATGAATCCAGAAAAGAGACTGATCCAGCCTGAGGAACTGTCCACCCCTGTACATGGAGTGGTGGAAAAACAGTTCAGCTATGAACTAGAAATTAGAAACTTCTTAAACAGAGGGCCCATGGCATCATCCATTTTTCACAAAGTATCAAATCAAATAGGGTAATGGTAAAAAAAAAAAAAATGTAGATTCTCAGGTCCCTCTCCAGACCCACTGAGAAAGAAGTCTGGGGGTGGAGGAGTCCAGAACTGTGCATTTTTAACAAGAATTCTGGGTGATTCTTAGGTATCATGAAGTGGGGAAACCACTGATTATAGACTTAATTTCTCTTTTCTCAATACTTAAGTTTTATTGAGATAATTTACATACCATGCAATTCACTCACTCACAATGTACAATTCAATGGCTTTTAGTAAATTCACCAAGTTGTGCAGCCATCACCACAATCAGTTTTAGAACTTTTTCATCACCCCAGAAACCCCATACATACTAGTATTCACTCCTCACTCTTCTGGTCCCCATCCCTCCCACCCCCAGCCCTAGACAATCACAAATCTACTTTCTGTCTCTATGGATTTTTCTACTCTATAGATTTTCTATAGACTCCAGGTCATTTTATAGAAATGGAGTGTATAATATGTGATCTTTCATGACTGGCTTCTTTCACTTAGCTAATCTTTCCAAGGTTCACCCATGTCGTGGCATGAATTTTTTAAATTATCAAATAATATTCCATTGTGTGGATACATCACATTTATTCATTTATCTGTTGATAGATATTTGGGCTGTTTCACTTTCTGGCATCTATGAATAATGCTGCTGCAAATATTCATGTACAAGTTTTTATGTAGACATCAGTTTCCATTTCTCTTGGGGATACACTTAGGAGTGGAATTGCTGGATCATATGGTAATTCTATGTTTAACCTTTTGAGAAATCATCAGACTGTTTTCCAAAGTGGCTGCACTATTTACATCCCCACCAGCAGGGTATGAGGGTTCCATTTTCTCCTCATCCTCACCAACACTTGTTATTGTCTGGTTTTTTTGTTTTGTTTTATTAGATCCATTCTAGTAGTGTGAAATAGTATCTCATTATAGTTTGATCTGCATTTCCCTCATGACTAATGATGTTGAACATCTTGTGCTTACTGGCCACTTGTATATTTTCTTTGGAGAAAGTCCTATTCAGATCCTTTGCCCATTTTAAAAATTGAGTTATTTGTCTTTTTATTACTGAGTTATGTGTTCTTTATAAATTCTAGATACAAGTCCCTTATCGGATGTATGATCTGCAAAAATGTTCTCCCATCCTATGGGCTGCCTTTTAATTCTCTTGATGGTGTCCTTTGACTCACAAAAGTTTTAAATTTTGATGAAGTCAAATTTTTGTGTTTCTTTTTTGGTTACTTGTACTTTTAGTGTCGTACTGAAGAAAGCTTTGCCTAATCCAAGGTCAGGAAGATTTACTCGTTTCTTATTTTTTTTAAGAGTTTTATCACTAGCTCTCATAATTAAGTCTATGGTCATTTAGAGTTAATTATTTTTATGATATGAGAAAGGGGTCCAACCTCCTGGAGTTTCATTCCTGGACCACAGAGGTGTGGGCTGCTGGCCAGTGTTGTACACCAGGCCAGTCAGGGTATGGGGGCAGGGTCCTGTGGGTGGGGCTTCCCACCATAACCCTTTCCTGCCCAGAGTGGTTCTCTGGGTTGGGGGGGGGGGTAGGCAGTGTCTTTTCTGCTGGGCCCCATGTCCCCCCAGGTCCCAGGTACCACCATGTTGCCTGCCCTGTGAGGCAGGATGGGCAGAGCTGGGAAGGACCACATGGGAGGAGTAGGGGTTAGCTTATCCAGGGGCTGGACCAGGGACAGGAGGGATAATGAGACATCAATCCCAGGGGTGCCTGTGGTCAGGTGACTTGCTACCAGGAAGCACTTACCTGAGGCTACACCCCCTGGAGGCGGGGGTCCTCCTCTGTTGCAGTTGGGAGGTCTCTGCTTTCGTGTCTAGTTGTCTGGTCTCTGCTTTCATGTCTAGTTGACTGAGAAGGGGAGCTTGCAGGGGGCAAGGCACCCCAACCATGCACTGGCCTTGCACCTCAGGCTCCTCTCATGGATGAAGGGGTCTTCGAAGATTTTTGGGTGCGGGGCATGGACACCTCAAGCCATGTGCATTGGAGGCGCCCAGAGAAACACAACTAAAAGCCAGGTTGGAGAAACAGGTCTAGGGGGCCAAGTAAGAGTGTACGGGCCTTGGTGCTGCCTGAGTCCTGGACAGGGAGGGTGAGATGTCTGCCAAGGCGGCAATCTTGTTTCTGGGCCAAACTGGAAACTGAGAAAGACCCCGCCATCTGCCCACCACCCAATCACCCCCAACAGACAAAACAGCTAGCCCACACTGATGCCCCAGAGCCCCGGTCTCCAGGCCAGCACTGCCCCTGTCATCCATTTTTTTCTTTTCTTTTTTTTTTTTTTTTTGGCCATGCCATGTGGCTTGTAGGATCTTAGTTCCCTGACCAGACATTGAACCCGGGCCCCCGGCAGTGAAAGTGCAGAGTCCTAATCATTGGACCACCAGGGAATTCCCTGTCATCCATCCTTTCTGCTTCTCCAGACCAGAAGCCAGGGAGCCCTCAGTGACCACAGATTCTCTGGACACCTCCACAGCCCTGTACCCACTCAGCTGAGGCAGAGCCAGCACCAGCTCAGACACAAGGTCACTGCCCTCGTGGGGTCCTAGTGTCCCCTAGCACTGGGTGCCCTGGGGCCTCTGGCCTGGGATGGGGGCTGGATCTAGTTGTAAATCTGGAGAGCTCTGCCTCCCAGGGCCCAGCCCATGTTCCTGGTGACACAGTGTCAGGGTGAAGGGCACCGGGCATTCTGGGAGTATCAGTGACCTGAGCTCCTGTCCCCAAAGTACTTTTCCCTGAAGACTGGTGCTCAGGAAGATGGGTGTCCATTATCCTGGACAAGGTACCCCAGGTGCTGTACGGGCGGGCTCTGGACCCACCTTTACTGGACTCCCAGCTCTGCCTTCATGGCTGCATGCCTCAGTGTCCTCATCTGTAACCTGGGTCAATGAGAAAGATCAACTTTCATAACATGGGGCTGAAGGTTAAGTGGAAAAACCTGTGGAAGCACTTCACCGTGTGCTCAGCACCTGTGGGCCTGGATTCCTAGTAACTTAGCTGTCAGCACCTTGGTCACCCCAGTAGCCCCTTGAGAGCCCTGTTTTGGGCACATTTTGTAGATGGGAAAGTGAGGTTTGGCTGGGAGAGGTGACGGACCCAAGGCTACCAAGAGAGCAGAAGCACCAGCCCAGGGTTCTCTGGCTCCATTCAGGTCCTTTCCTGGGGGCACCGAGGCAGCCCCATCTGCCCCAACCTCCAGCCCAGATTCTTCCTGAACCCAGGCCTAAGGGCACCTCCACTAATGGGATTTTGCCTCCTGCCTTAGGACGGAGCCCTTGAACTGCTGGGTTCCTTCCAGGGAGGTGGAGGAGAAATCCATCTGCTGGGGCCTGAGCGTGGCCTGGGGGCCAGGCCATCGGTCCCAGAATGCCCCTGCCCGAGCCCAGTGAGCAGGAGGGCGAGAGCGTGAAGGCCGGCCAGGAGCCCTCCCCTGAGCCCTCCCCTGAGCCGGGCACAGATGTCGTCCCCGCAGCCCCCAGGAAGCCCAGAAAGTTCTCCAAACTGGTGCTGCTGACAGCCTCCAAGGACAGTGCCAAAGTGGCGGGGGCCAAGCGCAAAGGAGTGCACTGCATCATGTCCCTGGGGGTGCCCGGTCCCGCCACCCTTGCCAAAGCCCTCCTCAAGATCCATCCCGAGGCTCAGCGGGCCATCGAGGCCGCCCCCCAGGAGCCTGAGCAAAAACGCAGCAAGCTGGACACAGGTGAGGCCCCAGCCCAGCGAGCAGGGCGGGAGCAAGACCTTCCTGGGGCCGAAGTCCCCTGTCACCTGGGCAGCCAGGGGGACAGCAGGCTCGGCTGGCTCAGGGGAGTATGTGTGTGCTGTGAACATTTCTGCGTGCATCTGTCTACATTATCTCAGTGTGAATCTCTGCGTGTCTATAGGCCTCCGTGTGTGTGTGTGTGTGTGTGTGTGTGTGTGTGTGCGCGTGTGTTTCTCTAAGGTTCTGTCTCCCTATGTGTGTATTTGCCTAGGAGAGTAAGTTTGTGTGGGTTCTTATATGTCTGTGTTCCTGGGCCTATTTCTCTCCGTGTCTACTCTTATGTGTTTTTCATGAGATAGGGGCATCCCCAGCCACAAGCCTAGAGTTCTCAGGGGACCTGAGGGACCCCCTCAGGCTCCATCGCCTGCTGGAGTCAGGGACCCCAGAGCCTGGAGGCCCCTCTGCAGTGGGCCTGGCTCACCCTTGAGCCCTTCCACCAGCCTGTTCTGCTCCAAGTGCCTCCTCATGTCCACCTGCCTCTGCCCAGTGCAGAGAGGGTTCTGTCCTCAGTACCTGTGTGGAGGCAGGGCTCAGAAGGGCCAAGTCACCACCCTGAGGCCACCAGCTAGCTCACTGCAAAGGATGGGGGGGCCCCCTCTGGCTCAGAGCCCATTCTTCCAGCTGAGCTGGATGGGACAGGCCATTTCTACCCCAACTGAGACCTCTGCTCACTTCTCAGATCAGGCAGGCTCTGGGGCCATATGGACCCCACCCCATATGGCACCTTTGTGAGAATCAGGACAAAGTCACCCTTCCTCAGATGGAGAGATGAAGAGCGTAACAAGGGCTGCAGCTTGGCCCCATGGGCTCCCCTGGGCAGATGCTCATGGGCAGTCAACACCTCTCAACCTGCCTCTCTGTCTTTACCTCCAGACCTGTCCACGGCCCTCCCCACCTCCTGCCCCGTCCTGGGCCAGGCAGCGGGGAGGGAGCAGCAGCTTCCTGATGCTCAGCCCAGATTTGGCCCAAAGTTTCCTGGAAACAGCCTCTGTGTCCCTGGGCCAGTGGCCTTTGGGAGCATGTCTCTGGAGTCAGCAATCCCTGCCCCTGCTCTGGCAGCTGGGACCCCCAGGTTTGCCCCCCACCCCTTCCCCCTTTTCCTTTGACAACAGCCTGACCCATCCCCTTCTCTTCCAGACGGAAAAGAAGATGGAAGGTTGGCAGGACAGCCTGCCCCCAGTCCCTTGGTGGATGGGGAGGAGTCCACCATGGGCCCCATCGTGTCCAGGGAGGACCCGTAGCCCTGACAACTGAGGGTGCATCCTGGCTGGGTCAGTGAACTTGGCTGCAACTTCTACACGTTCCACTGGGCTTCTGCCTGCGGCCCAGCCGCTGACTGATTTTCACTTTCAACGTTGTAATCTTTTTCTGATCAAGCATAATTTACTTTTGTAAGCAGAAAAAAAAATTAAAAAGAGAATAAAAGAAGCTGTACACTAGATCCCACCACGGGTAGGTTTTTAAAATTCCATGATTCTGGGTCCTTTGAGGTCCCAGCTCCAATCCCCACCCCCCTGCTCCTGAGCCTCCCCAACCCCCACCAGCCCTTACCTGGCCCTGCTCCAGGGCTTCCTGGCCTGGGCCATCTCTCAGGCCCAGGAGGCCTCTCCAGCGGCCTCCATCCCCCAGGGCCTCCTCAGCCTGGAAAACCCGACCACTGACTCAGAGACTAGGTGGAGTCTCTGAGGTTTCTACTTTCTGCTGCCTTTGGTGTCCAGCCCTGAACCCCTGGGAAGCCAATCCTGCCCCTCCCTGGCTCTCCTTCCAGGGCTAGTTCCCAGGAGGCCTCAGCCTGCTTCTTCCTGCTGAACCCTCATAAAGGCCACCTCCTCCAGGGAGCCACACAGGACTGACAGCCCCTGTGCACAAGGGCCCTGATGTCCACGGCAGCCCAAGGTTCTGCTGAGGAGGTGAGCCTGCGGTGTGAGGGGGCACGCCTGACAGAAGTGTATTGTGCCCCTGCCATGTTCCTCTGGGTGGTTTGGGGGCTGAGGGAGATTCCTGGGAGCCTGAGCCCCTCCTCAGGTCCCCTGGGTGCTGCCCTGCTGGAGGGAAAGATGAAGAAACACTGTTCCCCTCCTTCAACCATAAGTCGGGGTCCCCTGAGAAAAGGCATAGGCCTCAAGTTGCTTCAGCCCACGTGTTCCTCATCATTTGAAAACTGCCTTTGGGCAAAAGGAAATGGATTACTTTTTAAAAGTAGAGTTTAGAGGACTTATGTTTTCAAACATTTTCCAAATTTAATCAGTATCTGTTGACTCCCTCTTGGGAAAAGTGAGTTACACAGCACATCCGCAGCGCCCAACTCTCCATTTTGCTGTTATTTTTACAGCATAGTTGTCTGTAACAATTATATTCTGTAACCATAACTTGAAAAGTTGTTTTGTCTGAATTCTATATTTAAATAGATTCCCATCCCCCACAAGATTTCTCCTTTCCTGAGGCTCTGAGTCATCCTGGAGGGCTGGTTCTGTCAGTTGAGGAGACTGCCTGAGGGCTTGCTCTGGTTTAACATTTGATGGTGGAGGAGGCATGGAGTAGAGGAGGTGGGGAGAGGGACTGGCCAGCCTCGACCCCTGCCACTCATCCTGGACTCCAGGCAGTCCTGGCCTGGGCAGGGTCACTGCAGGCATCCACTCCCCTGCATTTTGCTGTGGCACCATCGACCCCTTCTGCAGCTGCCATGGGAGCCTGGGGCGGGGGTGGCACTTGGGTCCCCAGTGAGGGGGCCTGGTTGACTAGGTGGCCCCTGGAGGCTGGGTGGGGGCACAGGAAGGGTGCACCTCCCTCCGGGGGCTCAAGCGGCCTGTGGTGCCTGTCATTTGCCAGGAGGGTGGGAAGCCACTGCCAAGCCAGGCAGGGAGCTCATACACTGGATCCGGAGGTGTTAAGCTTTTCTTATTTTTTAAATTTTGAAACATTTCAAACTCCCATAAAAGTTGAAGGAACATGCAGGCAACACCACATATCCCTCACCTAGATTCACCCTCCCTCTCCCTCCTAGTCCTGCCGCTTTCTTGCCTCATCACTTCTTGAGGACCTTAATGTCTGCTACACAGGACCTAGTGGTAAACAGGTCACAACCCCAGCCTCCCAGAGGTAGACAGGAGACACAGGACTTCCTGCTGATGAGTCCATGAAATCTGGGGCTAAGGGCTGCCCAGGAGAGGACCAGGAGCTCCTCAGCATATGACAGGTGCCTGAGGAAGCCCCGTGGAGGGAGCTGAAAGGTGAAGAGGGCGGCCTAAGGAGGAGTGAGCCCAGACGGAGTAGGACAGGAAGGCCACGAGGCAGGAATGGTTGGCAGAGGCTACTGGCCCAGGGCCTTGAGGCCACAGGTGGGTTCCAGGCTCATCACGGGTAGTAGGAGGTTGGGACGGATTTATGCAGAGGAGGAATGTGATCAGTGTCGTTTTACAAAACTCCCTTGGTGCCCTGAGGAGAACAGACTGGAGGGGGTCCCAAGTGGGAGCGGAGAGGCTGGTGAGGGCACCACCACAGCCCGGGGGAGAGCAAAGGGAGGGGAGATGGGAGATTCTAGAAGGGGACTGAGAAGGGCTCAGTGTAGGCCTCTTTTGGGGGACAGTGTTTGAGGGAAGACTGGCCTGCCCAGCCCGGGATGACAGTGCCATCCACCAGGAGGAGAATCCAAGGGGAGAAGGCAGCTGGGGGCAAGTGGCCTTCCAGTTCACACAGTTGGCATCCTGCTGGACGGGTGTGTTCCTGTTGGTCAAGAGTGGTTCCCACCAGTGTCAACGGAGCAGAAATCCCTCAGAAGTGGCAGATTGATACAAGTTCTGAGTCTCTGCACTCAGTGAGTGGGTGGGTGGGGGCATTAATTATGATGGGGATAAAAAGTAAATAGGATGACTACTGTACACTTATTTTTTAAATATTTATTTATTTGGCCGCACCGGGTCTTAGTTGCAGCACATGGGCTCCTTAGTTGTGGCATGAATGTGGGATCTAGTTCCCCAACCAGGGATAGAACCCGGGCTCCCTGCGTTGGGAGCGCAGCGTCTTATCCACTACGCCACCAGGGAAGTCCCTACACTTACTTTAAAAAAATATCTTGCATTGGTCTTTCCTTCAAGCTAAAAAACAAACAAAAAAAGGTAATTCATGTTCATGAAAATAAACAGAAAATACTGATTATGAAAAAATATTACAAAATCTACAATAATTCCACCATCTAGAGATAAGTCTATGATAAATATTTTTTATATTCAGAAAATTGGGGTGATAAAGTGCCTTTTTTTTTTTTTTTTTTTGCCGCACTGCGTGGCTTGCGGGATTTTAGTTCTCGACCAGGGATCAAACCCCGACCCCGGCAGTGAAAGCACGGAGTCCTAACCACTGGACCACCAGGGAATTCCCTATTTTTTTCTTAATGTATTACAAATGTCTCTCCAGCGTCCATTTTACAACGTACCACTACAGGGGTGGATCATTTATCCAACCAGTCCTGATTGTTGGACGTATCCGTTGTTTCCAGGTTGGCAACAATCCTTTCAAAAGCCTTGGGTGAGATTCCTGCACACGGATTGGACACAGCCACTATCATTCCACCCGCGGCCCGTGAATACCCGGCTCTCAGGCATCCTTGCAAACATCCGGTAATACCATTAAGAAGAAAATATTTAAAAAAAGAAGAAGAAGAAGAAAATATTGATAACGCCCCCCGCTTCATCTTGTATGCACAACCTCTGCGTGCTTTTTCCTGGGGGTTGCATTTTCCTTGGTTAGCTTGGAGAGCTGGTCCAGGCACGCCCCCGTTCCCCCAGCCGCCGCCAGGCTCAGTGTGGCTGATTCTCCTGGAGGCCGGGAGGAGACGCGCGCGGACGCCGTCAGGCCCAGCAGATTCCGGACGCCCACCCAGGCCCTTTGAGGCCCGGGCACCGGCTCTAACTTGCCTTCTGCAGGGGCCAGGGATGATTCCTCAGTGACAATCCGGCAGATGGCCGGCTATCCGAAGAACGCGGGTGAGATCCGTACTCCTCGTCATCCTCAGACACTCCAACACAAGTCGCAGCCCCTCCTCCTCCCAGTCTGATTGCCCCACAGCAAGTACCTCTTCTAAGAGCCCATGTGACTCATTGTTTATTATTATCTATTGCTTCTCCCCAACCCACCCCCCATAACGTAAGCTCAACGCCACCACGGCAGGGGTCTTTGTGGACTTGGGCTCCTAAGGTGCCCAGGGTGGAGACCTGGCAGGGGAGCGGGCGGAGAGGCGCAGGGTGCGGATGGGGTACGGCACTCGGAGCCCAGGCAGGGGCAGAGGTGCGGGGATCCAGAGCGCGCAGTCGGAGTTGGGCGGAGCGTAGGTGCGAGAGGAAGGCGCGGAGGATGAGGCAGTGGGAGGCGGAGGACTGAAAACAAGGATGGGAAAGGGGGCGGGAGAACGCGGGAAGGAGGGGATTCGACGGAGGATACGGAGAACGTGGAAATGCGGAGCGGGCGGGGGACCAGGGCAGGAGGGCCCCATGGGACCTGAACCTGCACCTGCCTGGAGCCCAGGGGCAGGGGGGCGGCGGGGACTTCCAGCAGCAGCTTTAGAGCGAGAGGAGGAAGGCGGAGCGGAGGGGTGTCAGGGTAGTGGCGTTTTCTAGAGAGGAGCAGCGTCTTCACTCTGCCAACTGGGAGACTGGGGGCTCCGGCTGGGCAAAGGAGGGCGGGCGGAGGGAGGAGTCCGCGGGGCTGCGGAGGGTCGCGGTGAGCGGAGGGCCCGGGGCGCCCTGCAGGAGGGGAGGCGGGGGCGTCGTCGCGCCTGGGCAGGCGAGAGGCAGGGAGGGTGTCCGCTCGGAGGATGCCGGGCCGCTCCGGTCGCCACCCGCCAAGTGTCCAGGAAAGCAGTCCCCAGGCCCCGCAGCTCCCCGCGCCAGAACAATCCCGGTCCCCACCGCGCAGGGTGATCAGAGAACAAGTGTGCAGTGATTGTGCGCTGTGAGTGGGGGCTGGACCTATGGGCGAGGGCTGGATAGATGGGCAAGGGTTGGACCAGTGCAGAAAAAGATGCTTTCCCCGCACGGAATCCCCTCAAAGGGGCAGATTTTTTTTTCTGACGTTTTATTTTGACATAATTTCACACCTACAGAAAAACTGCAAGTGTACAAAGCATGCCCATATAC